TCTGAGCTTCCTGGCCTTCCTGGAAGTCTCTTTCCTTTGCCAGATTGGGGAAGTTTTCCTTTATTATTTGTTCAAATAAGTTTTCAATTTGTTGCTCTTCTTCTTTCCCTTCTGATACCCCTATAATTTGGATGTTGGAACGTTTAAAGATGTCCTGGAGGTTCCTAAGCCTCTCCTCATTTGTTTTGAATTCTTATTTCTTCATTTTTTTCTGTTTGGTTGTTTCTTTCTTCCTTCTGGTCCACTCCATTGATTTGAGTCCCAGTTTCCTTCCCATCACTGTTGGTTCCCTGTACATTTTCCTTAATTTCACTTAGCATAGCCTTCATTTTTTTCATCTAATTTGCAACCAAATTCAACCAATTTTGTGAGCATCCTGATCACCAGTGTTTTGAACTGTGCATATGATAGGTTGGCTATCTCTTTGTTGCTTAGTTGTATTTTTTCTGGAGCTTTGATCTGTTCTTCTGTTCGGGCCATTTTTTTGTCTTGTCACGCCTGTTACATAGTGAGGGGCAGAGCCTTAGGTGTTCACCCCAGTGAGGTCAGTCAACCCAGTCACTGTGTTGTGACACTGTATGTGGGGCAGGGGTTAGAGAGGGAACAATGGTGCTTGCTCCGCTCTGTCAGATTTCAGTCCCTTCTGCTGCTTCCTCCAAGCAAACTGAGTCTTTCTGGTACTGATTTCTGTGTGGGTGGGCTTGTGTACATTCTAGGACCTTATGGGTCTCTCCAGTGAAATCTCCTGTGAGGCTGGGAGTCTCTCTCAGCACCTCAACCCCCACAGGTGTTTTCAACTGGTGTTTTGAGGCTTTATTTCCCCAAGCTGGAGCCCTGGGTTTTGCAGTCTGTTTAGCTCCCCAGTTTCGCCTGGTTTATCTGTGTGCCAATGTGTGACTACCCGGTCAGCCAGCCACCTTGCTCGCCTCACTGGGTCTGCCCGCTGCCGCCTGTGTGCTGGGTCCGTCAGCTGCTGCCTTGCACGCTTGGGGTCCTCAATCTACAGGTTTTTTATTTTTGTTGCGACCCCTCTCCACCCCTTGACTCCTGACTCCACCCCTCCTACTGGTCTGGATGAATGTGTCTATTTTAACTCCTTGGTTTGCAAACTTCTGTACAATTCAATTTTTTGTCAGTCTGGTTGTTTTTTTGTTTCTAAATTTTTGTTGTCCTTATTTAGGTTGTGTGAGGAGACACAGTATGTCTACATATGACTCCATCTTGGCCGGAAGTCCATTATCCCTATATTCCTTAGACCCCTAAAGACTTCACTACATTTTATGCCCTACTCCCTGTCCCCCTCCACCCTGGTGAGTCCGTGAAGAGTGGGGCAGAGTGCTGACAAGGTAAAAATTGGAGTGCAGGGCTGGGTAAGGGAAAGGGTGCTAGTAAATATCCTAAGCTCTTCATTGGGACCATCAGAAGGCTAAACTCAAGACATGGAGCAATTAGAGGTAGACAGAGTTTCAACATTCTGTGACTCAGCCTCTAGTTAGTTCCGTCCCTGACTGAGTCAGGGTGGCCTTACATCACTCTGCCTATCAGACGACAGGCTGACCCTTGTCTAGAGGAGAAGAAGAAAATCCAGATGATGAAGTAGGGGATAAAGTTTCTCCCAGAAAGGCAACAGTATTTTTTTTTTCATGTAAAATCCAAGAGGATGCCAAGGCCAGGCTGGCTGAGCTCCTGAATACACACACGCACACACACACACACACACACACACACACACACACACACAATTTGTATTTTACTACCAAGGCATTTTGTATCCTTCCTTCTTAAGTCAATGAGTCTGAACTGAACCACCCTCAAAGAGGAATGCCACATGGAAGACACCCCCTTGGGTGGAGCCATCAGTTTCAACACAGTTTAGCAGCAGGTTAGTAAGGGCTGCCTCTGTTTGGAAGGGGTGCCCTGGAGGCTGCATCCAGCAGGTGGCAGTGTGTACCAGGAAATGGCCTCTGCGTGGCTGGTAGCCTTACAGTGTTTAACCCAAGCTGGGATTTGTCTTCCTTCTTTTGGGATTCTATATTATTTTTGCTGGAATACTCAGAGGGGACAGTGAAATGGTTTGGGGACAATGTGTATGTTCCACATGAAGCAGTTCCTGAATGGGAGAATCCCCTCTGGCACTTATGAGGGAGAAGTGCTGGCACAGAGCACATCATGCCCACGACTGTCCACTGAGCCCCATGTGACAGATCACGCCAGTCTTTCTCCCAACCTTGTCCTGTTTTTCCAAGGTTGGCATCTAGGCACAGTGCTAGCTCCTCTCTCAGGTGCCCCTAGTGTCTGGTAAACATCCAGATCCAGGACCCCTTTCTGCACCACCCCCCACCCCAATGCCTCATCTCCATCCCTCAGTTCTTGGTATCTGACCACTCCTGTGCCCAGAATCTTTTCCTTTTCTGGAATAGAGAAGGAAGGTAATTTGGGCACCTGGAGTCAACTGGGCCAACTTGGATTCCTTCCCTCTGGTGTTCACACAACAGTGGATGGCCTTTGGATTTCTTGGGGGCAGAGGGATCTCAGCTCCATCTCAATTATCTTTCTCCAAAAGCAGAGGAGGCTTTGGTGAAGGGGGAAAAAGGGATCAGGGGAAGGGTGAGGAGGGAGGCAAGAGGGTCTACATGCTTTTATTTTTGGTTTTAAGTGGCTGTGGTACTTTGGGTTCAACCAAATGAACTTCTGTGTTTTAGCTTTTCTAATTAAGTTTTCTAATAAGAAAGTGTATTCAGTACACTTTACTAAAGCAACCAGAGATACTCTAAATTATTGACATATTTTCACTTTTTAAATCTTCACTGGAGGATATGTTTGTTTTATTTTAGTTAGAGTGGAAGGGAGAGAGAGAGAAGAGAGACACATGGATGGAACTGAGAAACACAGATTGGTTGCCTTTGGTCCACACCACTACCTCGGAGTGAAGGTGCATGTGAGGTGTGTGCCCTGACCAGGGATCAAACCACAACTATTCAGAGCACAGGATGACCCTCCAACCAACTGAGTCACATGGCCGGGGCTCATTATTTTTCCTAATATTCCATGGGTTCGACCAAATGAACTTTCATGTTTTAGCTCACCTAAAGCTCCTCAATAGTAATTGCCATCAAACAGCAAGATCAGTTGTTGAGCAATAGGGAGGCGCTGGGAGAGTGGAGCCCCTGGAGAGAGCAGGAAGCTCCATGACCCTTCCCATATGTCTTGCCCTGGTGACACCTCAGGTCTTAGATTCCCAAATGCCTGTGCCATGCAATGGAGACAGAGTCCCACTCCCTGTTCACAGATTCCAGCATCTTTGCATTGAGATCTCTGGACAGCGTTCAGAAGTTTAGTAGAGGAAGTGAATGGACTGGAGAGACCTGGGGGCTGGCAAACAAGTGACAAGGTTGGCTCTTGCTATGTAAGAAGGGAGGGTGGATCTAAATGAGGCACTGGCTTCAAAAATGGGTTCCAGCCTGGAGGGGAGCTGGTGGGCTTCTTGGTTTTCTTTCTCCTCTCCCTTTGGCCCACCTCCCTGAGACATATTCATGTCTTCTTTTCTTCCCCCCACAAGGCCTTCTTCTTGGGTCAAACCTTCTTCCATCCCTCAGGAGGACACAAGTCATTGGATTTAGGGCCCATCAGAAATCCCAATGATCTCATCTAGAGATCTTTAACTTAATCACATCTGCAAAGACTTGATCTCTGACAAAGTCAAATCACATTCACAGGTAACAGACAGCTAGGACTTGGGCATACGTTTTTGGCGGGACACACACAAAAACTAATGCTTTGGGAAAGAAATAAAGTATTGATGTCAAAAAAGGGCCATGTTTAATGGCTTTGTGAGCTCATCTGGAATTCCCAAGTGGAAATAAGCAAGGACAGAAAAGAGGTGGGCAGTATGAAAGGTCAAAAGGAAACAGGAAGAAAATGTTTTCTTTTTCTACCTGTGTCAAATTTTAGCCTGATTTGTTAACTTGATACTTCTCTGTGTTAGATTATTTCATCTGAACAAAAAACACCTGGTGATAGGATTTATATATAGCATAACAATAGCAATAGGAATATGCCAATATTTTGCAGTTAGTAGTCAAAGTTGTGACATACATTTCATGATAAAAACTGCATTGCAACTTCACTACCAATTTTTGTGTACATGTGCATATAGTGTGTTAGTGTGTGTGTGTGTATATATATATATATATATATATATATATATATATATATATTCTAGCCAACACCACTTCCTTATAAAGCTGAGAACTACTTTTTCCTAGAATCCCTGTGTGTTAAAGGTCAGCATTTATCAATGAGAATAACTCTGAAGAAACTGGGAAGGTGAAAATGAAGTATTAGGCATTATTTTTTGGATAATCATGGAAGTGAGAGGATTGTGTAATATCTACACAAGCTCGCACTTGTAAATTGTGTCTGATGTGGCAATTTTGCAACCTCTCTGTGAGTGACTACTTTGCCATCATGGTGACAAGAGGTGGACCATCTCAGACTTCCCCATGTCAATCAGCTACTTCACCTCTCTGGCTGCAGCCTTAGAGATCTTCTCTTCCCCTGCTCCTCCCACTCATCTAACCCCTAATCCTAATCAAACACCACATTCTTGTAGTACTGATAGTAATTTTTACTCTCCTGACAAAATATAGACTGATATTGTAACTATACTTATGTATGTTAAATTGAGAACAGCCCCAATTTCATGAATTAATCTTATAATCCCTTGAAGAATATTATTCATTTCAACAGTATTAATAGTTTGCCGTCCAAAAAAGTTACAATATCAAATGCTGGTGAGGATGTGAATGAATATAAACTCTCCATCAGTGCTTGTGGGAATGTAAAATGGTGTAGCTCCATTAGAACGCAGTTCAGCAGGTACAATACTTATGAACTTAAACATGACTTTACCACACAGTCCAGTAATTACCCTTCTTGGTATTTACCCAACTGAATTGAAAACATATGTTCATTCAAAAATTTGTACACAAATGGTTATAACAACTTTATTTGCAATCACTGAAAACTAGAATCAAGTAAGAGCTCTCTGAAAAGATGAATGAACAAAAAAGTAGTGGTATACCAATATAACAGGATATTATTCAGTGATACAAATAGGTGAGCTATCAAACCGTAAAAAGACCCAGAAGCACTTCACCTGCATATTGCTAAGTAAAAGAAGTCAATCAGAAAAAAGCTATATACTATGTGATTACATGACATTGTGGAAAAAGCAAACTCTCTCTAAAAATAAGTCTTTAAAAAATAAAACAAAACAGAGATAACAATCCACCTTGTAAAGCTGTTAGAACTAGTTTGTACATGAGCTTAGAAAAAATGCACTTAGAAAGTGCAAAGAAGTGGTCAATAGTATTTGTTATTATTGATGATATCAACAATTTTTTAAAGATTTTATTTATTTATTTATTTGTTTGTTTGTTTACTTATTTATTTATTTATTTATTTTTAGAGATAGGGGAAGGGAGGGAGAGAGAGAGAGAGAAATCTATCACATGCCCCAACCAGGGGTTGAGCCCACAACCAAGGCGTGTGCTGTGGCCAGAAATCTACCCAGCCACCTTTCCCTCTGTGCCACAAGGACCAACCAAGTGAGCCATGTCGGCAGGGAGCAATAAGCACTTTAAATTTACAAAACTATCATCACAGCCTGTGGAATAACATTTCTATAGCTAATTTCCTGACAGCTTGGAAATGGATGGAATTCTCACTGTCCTCAATCCTCATCACTCACCATTTCTACCTCCTGCTGAGTTATGCATATGCCTTCATACCAGGCTCTATGCTTTTGTTTAATATCATGGAGGATGGATTCCATAGTAGGGCCAAACTCAATGATACTGGAAAATTCAGAATGGTAGTAATTACGGAAGCCAGCACTGTGCATGGCCACCAATGAACCGTATGAATCAAATACTGGCGAACCAGATGACCCAAAGTAAAAACTGGTGTCATAGGTAATCACATCAGTTCTGGGAGCCATTTCCTCGAAACTTCTTTGAGTGAGCATACGGATAAACTCCATATGCTCATCGAAACCCTGCATATGCTCATTGGAATCCTGAGGCGGAAGATGTTGCTGATATTTTTCTACTCGCTGGCTCTGAGGGACTATAGCACAACCATCAATAGACTTTGCCTCTCTATCTGGATGGCCAATAATATATATCAACCCACTAAGGGGCACAGGACCAATTCCATTATAAAGTCCCGAAGGTACTGGTCGTCCATTTTCCTTCAGTTCCAGAACAGCATAATCAAGAGATTCATCAGATATCTCAAACCAAGGTTTGACAAAAAAGTAGTCCCCTCTTTCTTGGCTGTCTTCGTAACCAAATGTCACCCTCACGCATTGGCCAATTATGTCTGCCCACTTGCTTGGCTCTATTCCTTTTCCCACAATGTCATGGATTACATGCCAACAAGTGAAAATGAACAACCCTCTAAAAACAAAGCAGGTGGCACAACCCTGAATTCCATTGTTGTCCCATGACAAGTACCCAACTGAGTCACTGAGACGAGAAAGAAGTTTGGTGATTTTAACCGGAGTAGCGTTTTTTGTCAGTTTCCCAAAGTATGTTTTATGAGCAAGATATAATTTCTTCCCCTGTCTATTTTTAATCTTTTTCTTGAAGCTTTCTCTAATTTTTTTCATTTCTCTTTTCAAACTAGGGTACTGGGCCATACTTTTTCCTTCCAAAACACAGGTGTTTCTTTCCTCCAACTCAGGATTCTGAGTGGTTGTCAAATCACAATTCTGAGTGGTTGCCACACCACAATTCTGAGTGGTTACCACACCACAATTCTGAGTGGTTGCCAAATCACGGCTCTGAGTGGCTGCTGCCCTAGACGCCCTCCTTTCCTGAACCTCAACCTGGAAGAGCTTGCCCTCTAGCTCATCGACACATTGTGTGTTTTCTACAATGGAGTCCAGGTTTAAAATGAGTTTCCAATCATTGTTCTCCAGAAAGGAAAGAAATCTGCCATCCTTGCACACAGCTTCCTTGATGGTTTCTCCTTTGAAAGCATAGACACAGAGTTTGACCCCTTCTTTGTGAAGTTTCCTGTATTTGACAATCCTTTTCCTTGTCTTTCCAATTGCGTGGATAAAAAATTTGACACAATCAGTAGATGCCTTGTCATGCCGACCAGATATCTGGTTCTTTTCATTCTGCTTACTTTTATTCTGGGCAAATGTAATTCCCAGGTGGCAATTTTGAGGCAAACAACTGAGGGGCATTCCAAGGTTTAGGTAGCCTTCAATTCCTTCCGTGCCCTGCACCAGTATTTCTTTGCCTTGCTGAGTTTCCCTCTCTTTTTTGACAACCTGAAGAGTGTCAAGTGCTGTTGATAAGGTATGCCTCTCATTACATGTGATCTGGTATTTCATTTGTTTGTTTCTCCTGTGAGGTACATCTAAGGTAATGTCAAGTACCTTATTTTGGGATATAGCCTGGTCTTTGGCTCTTTGAGCCTGGGTATTAGTTACATGATGTGGGCTTTTTCTGGAGCCATTCTTCATTTGAGGAACACTGGAATTATCCTGTTGTTCTTTATTGACCTAAAAGGAAATGTTAGAGTCTGTAAAACTATTATGCAACCTGCCTTTTGTTTCATTTTTTAGTGTGGAATTCACAAAATTTCTATAGAAAACTGAGAACCAATCTCCAAAGCCCCAGTGAATAGAATTAAATCAGAGTTTGAGTTGGGAGCCAAAATATAAGGTGAGTTTCCTTTCCTATCAATGAGTTAAGCTTTTAATACTACTAGAGTTGTGCATATTTATGAGAAATGTGAGGGGAAAAGAACAACGGTTTTGTAGTTTCATCAAAAATAGAGATGCTGCCCTGGCTGGTGTGGCTCAGTGGACTGAGCACCTGCCTACGAACCAAAAGGTCACTGGTTCCATTACCAGTCAGGGCACATGCCTGGGCTGCAGGCCAGGTCCCCAGTAGGGGGTGTGCAAGAGGCAATCACACACTGATGTTTCTCTTCCTCTTTGTCCTTCCCTGCTCCTCTCCAGAAATAAGTAAATAAAATCTTTTAAAAAACAACAACAGAGATGCATGCTTAAATGTCTGCCAGCCTTCACAGTGTTCTCTTGGGTATTGTTTACTATTTTCAGCTGTGTAATTTTTACCACTTCGGACCACAGTGATGAATTGCACCAATAATTGTTCTTAAAACACCAAAATCAGCAAGAATAACATACCATCATTGATTTTATAATTGAGAATTAAATGCTAAAGAAATCATCATCAGTTAAGTAATTATTTTGTCATAATAATATTGTTACAGTCAATGAATAAAGATAGTCAATAATAAATAATAATATTAATAAATAATAGATTAATAATAAATAATAAAGAATGTATTATATTATTGTATGTTAATATAATGTATTAATAAAAATGGATAAATTTACTTATTAATAAATAATAATAAATGAATACTAATATTGTTACAGTCAATAATAAAGATGCACTCAATGAATGAATGGCATATGCATATGGTGCGTTATGCCCTGTTCCACATGCTTTTCATGAACTACCTTGTATAATTCTTACAACCCCGTGAGCTAGGTGTGATTAGTCCCATTTTCCTGGGAAAGAACTTGAACACCCAAATGTCAGCAAACTTAAGTCCAAGTCTTCATCCCACTATGGCCTTAAGAACAAATCACTTCTCTCGTCTCTTTATAAACCAAACTGAGGATGAGAAAATCCTGCCTGCCTGCCTAATAAGCTTATAGTAAGAATAAATTTTTAAAAAAGATTTTACTTATTTATTTTTAGAGAAGGAAGGAAGGGAGATAGGGAGAGAGAGAAACATCAATGTGTGGTTGCTGGGGGTCATGGCCTGCAACCCAGGGATGTACCCTGACTGGGAATCGAACCTGCGACACTTTAAGAAAAAATATTTTAAAAATTGTTTTATAAATTGTAAAGCCTTACACAATTGTACTGCCATTATCAAATACATCAGCCACATTGGCATGGCATTGTATATATTGCCAAGCTATGAAATAACTTTAATTTTGTTTTCATTCCATATTTTGCTGTACATTATATTTGATTTTTTTTGTTGTTCAGGAAGTGTTACAATAGCTTTTTGCTAAAGGCTGATTTTCTATGGCTAAGATTTTTATTAAAACTCCTCCTCACCACTACCCATGAAAACAGAAAGAATAAACATGAATGAGAATTTTAACTTATGTTATATTCCCTACATTCAATGGGATAATTTCTGGACAGGAGGACTATGCAGCCCAGTGTCAAGGATGGCTAAGTCTAGTATTTATACATTCTGTAAACAGTATTTACAAACATATTGTACCTGAGGAAAATAGTCCACAATTTTCGTATTTCTCCTTGTATCCAAGGAGACCTTCTGTGACCTGTTTTTCTTACAGCTCATGATGGCTTGAAGATGAGTAGGCAGTTCAGCTGAAACACTAAAAAGGTTCAAGTTAGAGCAGTATCTTCCCAGCTACCATTAACTGTACAGAGGGTAAGATTAATGGGGACCCTGTGTCCCACCTTTCCCTTTAGCTCCAGCCACACCCTTCTCAGAGATGTTAACTTTGGAAGTAGATATTTTATCCACCAACTCTAATCACCCCAATAACAAAAGCTCCCCATGATGGAGAATTATACCAGATACTTTACAAAAATTATCTCTAATTGCCAATTCCCACAGATACCAAGCAAAATAGGTGTATCTGCTTTTGCAGAGGGGGAAAGTATAACTCAGAGAAGGCAGGTGAGCTCTCTCCACAGTCAGAGTGACATGGCAGAGATGGAATTCAAAGGCAGGAATAAATATCTTTCAGGAGGGTTTGCTGTTGGAGATTTAAAAAGTGTGTTCTGGTTCCATTAATGTTAAGTTATGGCCTCCACTTAAGTTGGAGATGGCACGGGGATGGTATAATTGCAGGACAATGAACAGCAAAAACAACATACAGACAAAGTCAACTTACAGTGGGAGTTTGACTAGGAAGATAGGAAAGTTAGTGGCTGCTTTAGACTTTTTTGTTTGTTTAAAGAGGTATTTTCCCCTCTGTATCTCCTCTGATGTCTCCCCAGAGGAGGATGAACAATGAAGCAAAAGAGTGAAATCTTCACTAGTGACAAACATGCTACAATGGAAGCCATGGATGGGCAGCAACCTCCTGCCTTCGGTATCTCAACATGTAATGCATGCCTGTCACGTGGCAAGCCCTCATAAAGACACATTTATAAAGATACAGTCAATGAATGAATGGCATATGCATATGATGTGCTATGCCCTGTTCCACATGCTTTTCATAAACTACCTTGCATAATTCTTACAACCCTATGAGGTAGGTGTGATTTGTCCCATTTTCCTGGGAAAGAACTTGAACACCCAGAGACGTTAAGGTATTTACTGGTACTCAAGGTCACAAAGCCCAGAGAGTATACTTTTAATGGCTTTTTATTATGAAAAAAAGAGAGAGAATAACATAAAGAGCCTACATGTACCTATCACATAGGACCAATAATTGCTAATTTTTTTTGCAAATCATATTTTCATTTTACTAGATGATTTTACAGTTAGAGATATCATGACATTTTAATCCTAATTATCACTTTCCAGCTCTAAAAATCTTGGACTTTTTCTTACATAATCACAATACTAATTTATTCAGGTCAAGATCCAATTGAGATGCATAAGCTGTCTTTAATTATTATATCTCTTAAGTTTTTTTTATTCTAGGAAATGAATTGATTCATTGAAAAGAACAGAAAAGTTGTTAGCAGACAGTTTACCTCCTGGTTTGCTTCTTTGTGTTGTTGCTTAATTTGTGCTCAGCCCCTGTAGTTCTTGTCAAGTAGAACTTACCTAAAGATTATGCTTTAAAGACGATTTGGAAGATGCCCTTGTAAAGCAGTAGACAGCACATTAGTCTCATAAAGATGATTTTGTACATATATAGAATGGAATATTATTCAGCCATAAAAAGAATGAAAGCTTACCATTGTGACAATATGGATGGACCTAGACAATATTATGCTAAGTGACATAAGAGAGTCAGAGAAAGGCAAATACCATGTGATTTCACTTATATGTGGAATCTAAAGAACAAAATAAATGGGGAAAACAGAAACAGACTCATAAATACACAGAACCAAGTGACTGACGGTGCTGGGTTTAAATGTGAAGGGATTAAGAAGTGCAATTGGTAGTTACAAAATAGTCATGGGGACATAAAGTAAAGAATAGGAAACATAGCCAATAATATAGTAATACCTGTGTATGGTGGCAGGTGAGTTCTAGACTTATGGGGGGATTACTTTGTAAAGTAAATGATTGTCTATCTACTGTGCTGTGCACCTGCAAATGACACAAAATGATATTGAATGTAAGCAGTTAATTAAAAAAAATTAGAAAGCATGAATATCCAGCTTCAAGCTTGGCTATTTATTAACTACACTAATAAATACCATTTTAAAATTTGAGGCAACAGTACATCAGTAGAGACTATGCTGCCTCTCTTCACCATTCCACCATGCAGTGGGAGCCCTGGCTTCATCACTTACTGATAATGAGCTTCTCAGGAAGCTCACCTCAGCCTCTCTCAGCCTTAGTTTCCTGTTTGTACACTGAGGCAATGGTTCTACAGGAGATAATGAATATGGAAGTGCTACATCAATGTTAGTTTTTGTAAGTCCACTTGGCTTCAAATTTGAGATTAGCATTTACTAGCTGCTTGACCTTGGGCATATTAATTAATACTGTCCTTTACTCTCCACTCCTCTTAGATGGAATTAGTGGTGTGATCAGCCTCCACTGTTACAAAGATTAAAGAATGAATGGAAAGTCATTAGAACAGTGCCTGGCACAGCACAAGTTGCCCAGTAAATATTACTATGGTTAGTATTATTATCATCAATATACTTACCACAGGGAGACTTTTCAAATAGCAGTGACCCTGAGAAAACAAAAATGAGGTACTTATAATGGAGGTGATGTGCCATGTAGCATAAGGTCCTTGAAGGCAGGAACTTACTGTCCCCAAATTAAAAGAATTTGGAGTTTTGCTGTGTCTGCTGTTGCTGACTTATCTCATGGAATTTGAGAAAAGACCTAGGTGCTTTAGGAGTGATTAGTACACATGGACCAAAATATATATATATATAACGTGGGCAGGAACAATTGTGAGTTTTGCCCTCCATTGGAATGAACTTGAGCAATCACAGTGGAGAGGTGCAGAAGGTTGGGAAAATACCCCACATCCCTTCCCCAACATAGTTTTCGGTATCCAGACTGAACCATGCTATATCAAAGTGTGAAGTGTCCTAAGCTATCCAAGTCCAAGACCAGCATTATCATTGGGGAGGTCAAGGCTCTGCTGACCTGAAGGGCTGGATCTATGTCCTCCAATAAAGAGCAATATACAACCTGTCCTTGGTCCATTTTTAGCCCACCCAAGGACTTCCCCTTAGATTTCATCTCCTCCCTCATCACTTCTCTCCCTCTCTCTCTCTCTCTTTCTCTCTCTCTCTCTCAGTCTCTCAGTCCCTCTAGATCTCTATCCTTCCCCACTACTTCCCTCTCCCTCTGGCTCTTCTTCAGTCGGCACTCTTCACCTTCCTTCCCATCCCACCCCACACCTGCCTCTCTCTCCCCTACTGCTCTACTCTCTCCCTCTCCCCTCTCTTGTTTCCTTCTCCCTTCTCACTCTTCTCTCTGCTTTGGCCTGGCATGCTAGAGCTGATCCCAGCTGACCCTCGGCCTCCACCAAGCCCATCACCATGCTTCCAGGCCCCTTCATCCATCCTAGTACACAGAGCCTGACAAGAAGTAGCCATGAAATAAAACTGTGCAGTCTTGGGACAGCAGGTGGGCAGCAATGTCCAACACAGTCCAGAAGGATGGGGCCCACCTCTTTTCTCTCCCAGCCACACAGACTCCCAGGCCTCCGCCCGCCCTACAGAACATCCCAACACCCCAGAAACTCCATGCTTACCCACTCCAGGGCACACCTCTCCTGTCACCAGCAGCCAGGACTCCAATGCAGAGCCAAACTGGGTTAGTTCTTTTAGAACTGCTCAGGAGAGCAACCAAGTTAGCGCAGACCAGCTGTGAAGGCACTGGGTGGGGCTGAGAATTAAAAGATTTCCTGTCCTTCAGAACTTCCTCTCTGCTGGTAACAGTGTTATTTTCACTTTCATATCTAGCAGGCTCTTTCAGGTATAGCATCCTCCTTCCATCTCAGCCTTTCCTCCACCTCACCCCACCCCATCTACTTAGGTCTTTGCTTTTTTGGACATTTGCTGAACAGAGGAGCTGAATGCTGTTTTCAGAAAGTCCTATCAGCCTGAAACATCCTTCAGGACTTCTTAGTCCCCAAGACCAGTCTGAGAAACAGACTGGGGGAGACTGTGCCTGTTCTCTTGACCTTGTCTTTTACACAAGTACAAGTGACGACAATACAGACAGTATATGCAGTATTGCCAATAAGGCAGATTTTCACCAAGTGTAAGAGCTTTTAAAATTTTGATGAGATAATCAAAAAGATCCCTAAAAAGTGTTCTTTACTCTCAGGGGAAAATAAACCCAGCACTTACAGAGCTCAACAAAAAGAAACTGGAGTTTGACCTAATGCAAGATTGCTTTCCCTACCTTGAGTTCAGAGCATGGGGAGAGAAGGAAGAAAGGGCCTCAGAATACACTGATTCTGAATTGAGGATGTTGGGTTGCCTGGGTTTTGCTGGGATCTCCAAGAATGTCAGATGCTGGCTCCCAGAAATACCACCAAAACAACCTGTTGACAACAAACCCAAGTTTCTTTCTTACTGAAGTCATGAACAGCAATAACTTGACAGAATTTTGGTAGTGTCTCAGGGGGTGGGGAGAGCAATGTGGGGTTATTTGTTGAGATTTTGCAGTATAGTTTAAGTTGGGACTTGAATGTGGAGGATTGGTAGGATGGGGCCAACCTTAAGTAACAGCATAGGACTGGTGGATATAATAAGGTAAGGGTTCAAGTCTTGGGAAGTAAATGGTACTTCGATGTTTTCTATTGAACAGTGATTGGCCTTGAGGATGTGTCAGAATAAACAATAAAGATATTCGCAAGTGTCATGTGCCTGGGCAGAAGTTTCCTGAATAGCAAATTTATGTTGATGACAATAATAGAATAGTATTGTCATATGAATGTCGCTAGCAAGCTGTATGAATACAGAAGGCTTCACTTCTATCAATGGTTTACATGCCTGAGGACTTAATCAATGTTTGTTACTTAGAGTATTTTATCCTGGAAAGCAGCTCATCAGGAAAACACATTTTAGGTGACATGTGTGTTACTCTTTGTAAACAAATTTTGTGGAACAGAATCCGGACACAGAGAGGTTCTTACAAATGCATCAACAGTTGTCCCGGAACATGTCTGCTTCGTGACAATATCCTTAACAAAGGAAAGATGAAACTTTCCATAAGAATCACCCTCAATAATGATGTTTCATGTTTTATAATTAGAAAACTAATAGATATTCTGCATAATAATTGGATAATACCCTGGATGATGAATAATGGAGAAAACTATCAATCATTAGTCCAGCACCACAAATAACCATTCTGCATTATCTTTTTATTTCAAAGACTGGATATGCAGATAGAAATCTAAAGTTACTTGCATTATACTAGGCTAAGAGTGTGTTTGTCACTGAGCAATCCACCATTGCTTTCTCATGTCATTAGACAACCTTTGAAAACAGATTTTGATGGGGCATTTTATATTTAGTGTGCAGTAACTTTTAATCCATTCTTCCATTGCTGGATATTGAGACTGTCTCCAGTGTTTAACTACTCGAACATGACAAACATTTCTACACTGAAAATATTTCTTTCTGTCCTTCCAATTACTTCCCTAGGCCAGATTCCCATCAGTGGAAATACTGAGATAAAGATTCTAAATATTTTTCACAAAAAATCCACGGCCAAGCTGCTCTCCAGGTAAGTCACATCAATCTGCCCCACTGTCAAATAAGATGGACTGTGTGGCTGACTCTCTAAAGCATTGCAGTAGTAGTATTAGAAGTGTTTGCTGATGGATAGATGAACTGTCATATACTTTGACTGTTTTTAAATCTGTCTACATTGTTCCCTTACTAGTACAGCTGGACATACTTTATGCATTGTTTGGACATTTGAAACATCCCCTTTCAAAAATTCCCATTACTATCTGTTTAGTTTCTATGTGTACACAGTTTTAAGAAAATTAAGGAAATACAACAAAATGCTTGATAAATCACAAGATTAGCTAGCTGTACAAACAGGTAAACATTCAAATGTGCAAACAAATATACATATTCATATAGAAACAAATAAGCATTCTTCTCTCTGCTCCCTAAAATCACTTGTGTCTACCTCGACTTAATATTACCATTTTGCCCATTTGTCAGTAAAAGAGTGGGCTCATGAAAACCTGGGTCCTGATGGACTGGGTGCAAAAATCCTTGCTCTGAAGCACATGACTTTTGTTACTTTCATAAACTTCAGTGTCACTTTCTTCATTTGTGAAAGAGGGACGGTAATAATATTTCTTGCAGAGAGTTGTATTAAATGGTAAATAAGATAATCCATAGGAGGTAAAAAGTAGAATCCCAGGTACACAGTCACTTCTCAGTAAATATTAGCACTGTTGCTATTTACGTCTGTCTATGACCCCAATGACATTAAATGTATAGTCTGTTGAGCAGTCACCTGGTACAAGGGCCTCTTTGTGTGGT